TATCACCTGTTGTTTCATTATTGTGTTTGTCTTTTTTGCAGAGTCCTTCAATCCAATGGGTTGACAGGGAGTTTGCCCCCTGAGCTTGGAAATTTGAAATATCTTGAGGAGCTTCGGCTTGATAGGAATAGACTCCGGGGTACATTGCCAGCCAGTAATGTCTCAAAAGTACATGGATTGTAAGTAGTGAGTGGTTTGTTATTCCTCATTTCACCCACCGAGGTTAAATCTCGTTAGAGGATTTAATATTTACTAGACCTTCAATCACTAGTTTGAGTTGATTCCTTGACACAGTATCGGAGCTTTGTTGATTCAAAGGTCACAAGTTCGAACCTAACCATCGCCCACATTTAACAATTCTTGAGCCTATAACCATAAGTTTGAACTTTTGGTTGACTCGGTTTCTTAACATCTCTAAATAAAACTCAAAAATATACGCTGTATAATCTGAACTCCATTGGGATTTGGGTATCAAAATATACGCTGTCCTACGGTCCTACCCATGTATAAACAGAGAGACTTGATGCATTGTTGCATTTACTACCCAAAACTTCATTGAAAGTAAGAAGCAAGGAAAGTTTAAGGTGTTATTTTATATTTAGGTCATAATTCACCTGAAGCTAAAAAGAATTGTGAAAACAACTATTTAAAAAAGAGTCATATTCTATGCAATAGAGCTAATTTTTCACACTTGGAGTGGATTATATATCTAAACTTTCCTTTATTTGTATACTAGGGATCCCCACGATGGCAACACAAATGTTTTTTGTTGTTTGTCTCAGCTTAAAGTCATTGATTTCTCCTTTAACTTCTTTGTTGGGCATATACCCAACTGTTTGAGTTCTCTCCCAAGGTACTTTTCACTCTTCTTCTTTGCAGACTTTGTTGTTTTAATCTCATTTCTATTCTAAATCTCTTTATTCTCGTGGAAAGCTCGAGCTTCCAAGGGAACTGCCTACAAGTGAAAGAAATCCAACAGCGCTCCCCTGCCCGTTGTGGTATGTCATATACTACTGCACTAAACTGTCAAAATTTGAATCACTCAAAAAGAAAAATTTTCACTTTTTTTGGTCCCATGATTATTATTCCCTCTGTCCTATATCTTTCTTCCCCTTTCCTTAAAATGGAATTATTATTCACCTTTTTAAACAATTAAAAGACTACTTGATTCTTAGTTTTTCACTCGATTTGTTTTTTCAGGCAGTACACTGCATGGGAAGAACCGTCCAAGAGCCAATGCGGCACTACACCCACTTGCAGATATTCCAAGCCATCACCGAGCTGCGTCTTCAAAACCTACCTGGCTTTTAGCTCTGGAAGCTGTCACGGGAGTCATGGCGGGTACTCTATTTGTGGTGGCTCTTCTGACTGCCTTTCACAAGTTCAAGAGCAGACCTTCTATTATTATCCCTTGGAAGAAATCGGGTAGCCAAAAAGAAGAAGAAAAAGACCATATGACCATTTATGTAGGTCAGTGTTATGAAGAGATTCATCCATTTCTATGAACTTCAACTTTTCATATAAGGGTGGTACCTGTAAAAGTTCTAAACAAAGCACAGAAAGGTCTGGAAAGAGCATTGTGTGATTGATACAATAGGAAAAAAAAGTATTAAAAAAAAAGTTACCACTTTGTCCTAAAATTATCTTTTGCCCTAAAATCATCTTCCCGGTTAGTTTGACTTGACACGTTTGTTGGCAAAATGGAATTGTGTTGTTGTGGTATATTTAGAAGTGATAGAAAGAATGTGAAAACCACACAAATATTCCTTCAAAAGAAATCGTAGGACATCCCAAAAAAAAGAGAGATTAGGAAGAAAATTTCAGGAAAGAGCGATATTTCATATAAGAGTTAAAAAATACTATAGTGTAATTTCTTGAGGCATTACTTATCCAGTGAAAAAACCCATCTCAGATACTGAGATGCTTAAGGATGTGGTGCGGTACAGCAGGGAGGAACTAGAGGTAGCGTGTGAAGATTTCAGTAACATTATTGGATCTTCACCCGACAGCTTTGTATACAAAGGTATCATGAAGGGTGGGACAGAAATAGCTGTTATTTCCTTGTGTATCAAGGAAGATCATTGGTCAGCTCATCTCGAGCTTTATTTTCAGAAAGAGGTAAATTTCTTCCCCTTCCTTTTCAACATAATGGACTATATCAAAAATGGCGCATTAAACTCCCTTTGTTTCTTTCTACGAAGTTTTGGGCAATATATGTTTTTACTTATGATATGGTAATACATGCTTTTAATTGTACCTCAACAGGTTGCAGAACTTTCTAGAATAAATCACGTAAACACGTCAAAACTGCTGGGCTATTGTAGAGAAAGCAGACCATTTACAAGGATGCTGGTTTTTGACTATGCGTCAAACGGGACACTGTATGAGCACCTTCACTGTAAGTGCATAACTAGGGACCTCTTTGGATAAAAAAGGATTGTTTGGCTGAAATGGTCAAAAAAAATCTTATCTTTTCTGAAATGAAAAAAAATTATTTGGTAACATTCCTTTCAGCCAAACAAGCCAGATAAGGCATTGAGTTAACATTGTTTGTTAAAGGCTGGGGAATTGATGGGTGCAGATGGAGAAGGGTGCCAATTATCATGGACCAGACGAATGAACATTGTTATCGGCATTGCTAAGGGGCTGAAATATCTCCATACCAATCTTTCTCCACCGTTCACTATCTGTGAACTGAATTCGAACTCCGTCCATCTCACAGAAGATTTTTCTCCAAAGGTAAAAAAACCAAGATCAATTCCTTCTAACAACTCTATTGATTTTAGTTACCATTCACATATTTAAGTGGCTCCATTTTACAAACTCAATAAAATCCCACAAAACGTATGGTCAAGTGGCTCCGTTTTACATTTACTCTTTTTTTTTAGAATTAATTTTTTTTACAGTCATGGTAATCCATGCAAATGCCTCATATACATTTGGTGCAGTTGGTTGATTTTGAAAGCTGGAAGACAATAGTTTCTAGATCAGAGAAGAGTTCGGGGGCTATCGGTGGTGAAGGTGCACTATGTATTTTGTCAAGCTCTCTAGAGAAGCGCCGCCTTGACATCCAGGGTAATATCCACGCATTCGGCTTGTTGCTGCTAGAAATTATCAGTGGCAAACCTCCCTACTGCAAACACAAAGGGTCCTTGCTTGATTGGGTAAGAATTCCTACAAGGAACATATATGTTTCATTCACACATTGCCCTCATTTGGAAATAAATAATGGGTTAATGACGCCTTGAGTTCAACTGGGTAATGGATTGGATTTACCCTTTTACACAATGTTTGGTTCAAGGAATTAGGAAGGGAAAAAAAGGGTTTCTCGAATTTTCCTCAGTAAAATGGAAGAAATTTTGTTTTCCCTCCTCTTAGTTCATTTTTCCTTTTCAGTTTCTTTTCTTTTTCTATCTAACGAAACAGGAAAAATTGTTTTTCATCTCATATTCTTTTCTTTTTTCTTTGAAATTCCTTGAACCAAGCATACTCTTAGTGTGATTTGTCCCTTATGACCCATGTGAGTGACTCCTAACCGGTCCTAAATGTTTTCCCCTTCATTTTGAGGTTCGATTTCAAACCCAATTGGCAACGAGCAGAGTAACTCACATTCTTATATACTCCCTTCGTGCCAAAATAACAAAGACACTTTCTTTTCTGCTTCGCCCCAAAGTAGACTTTTAAACATATGACGTGTGGGACAATAAAACTCTTTCGTGTGTTCCACGTGGGGTTTTAAAATAATACGCTCGTATTGAATTTCACGGCTGAAAAAAAAATCTTTTAAGAAAAAAGAAAGAAAGGTAGTTTTGACTTATGACAGAACTCTTGGGTGGGGCCCGCCCTGGCGTCGCCCCGGGGGGCGTGGTTTGGCTAAAATAATTGGGATGACGGTTGTGGCAGGCGAAGGATTTCCTGGAAGTGCCGGAGGTAATGCCGTACGTGGTGGACCCGGAGCTGAAGCATTTCAGGTATGAAGACCTGAGAGTGATATGCGAGGTGATAAAGCTGTGCATCCAACCGAGTTGGATCAGCAGAACGTCCATGGCCGAGCTCTGCGCCATGCTTGAAGGTAACATCGACACTTCTGTGTCTGTGGAGCTCAGAGCTTCTTTAGCGTGGGCCGAGCTCTCCGCGCTTTCCTGATTCTTTTTTTCTCTTTTTGAAACGCCTACACGGGGACCGTTTTTTCTCTAGGTTTGATCGCGTCGGGTTTTGTGCAAATTTTTGTTTGCCATATAGAGGTTGATTGTCTGTTTTTTTTTCTGTAAATGACAAAGAACATATTAGGATAACAATATCAAAATACGGAGTACTCATTAGTTAATGTGTAGCAGTGTGAAGTAACTGGTCAATATACTACCAGAGTACATATATTCATATATTTCTTTCGTTTTTTTTATTATAAAAAAATAATTTCAACACTTTAAGTTTTGTGTTCTCATTCCTATTTATAAATTGTAACATGTGAAAATATGAATATGAATTGTACTCTCTGAGATTTGAAGTTCGTTTGTTTTTTCAAGTTGTTGAAATAAATACTCATCCGGTCATCTCGTCCTAATTTAAGTTGCATGTCCACTGTTTAGAGAGCCAATTTTTTTCTTAAATTTCACATCAATTTTCATATAAAATATACTTAAATAATTTCAATCAAATATTTTGAATCATAAAAAACCATTTAAATTAAGACGGAAGGAGTATAGGGAAGAAGTTGAAAAACTATACGAGAGCTTCGACTTTAACCAACTTTGGATGAAGAAATTCGAAGAGACCAGAAACAAGACAATTACAGTCTGTAAGCCTGTGAGCTTGTCTTTAAGAAAGAGAGACAAGACTTCATTGTTAGCGAAGATGGAACCTTGTTCTACCGGAATCATTTGGTAGTGTCGAATGGTGGCGTGAGGAAGCGCTTGATGCACGAGGCTCACGGAAACGTTACACAATGCATCAGGCGCTTGTCGAAACCCAGCAATTTCACGATTAAAATGCAAGACATAAAAAGGAAAACATAAGAACGGGGCAATTCATCACATTTCGGGCATAAATTCAAATGCATAAAATTCTTCTCCGTATATGAATGAATAAAAACAGACAGTCAGTGTGTGTATAGAAAGGAGAACCAGGTCTGTCGGGCCTATAATTGATGACAAGCTATTTTCGAACGTCGCAAAATCTCCAAAACTTGTTCGTGCCAGACCGGGAATGAGAAGTTAGTTAATGGAGTGCCCGAGAATAATGGTTGTCGTTGGGATTCCTCCTTCCATAGAAAACAGCCACTGTTTGCCTCATAGGAGGTTGCAAGGGAGCCTTTTTGTCGGTATGGTTGACAAATATGTTGTCTTGAGTAAATATATCATCATCTCCCTGCAACGCATCACCCCAATTTTCGGCAATTAGCAAATAAAAATACTCCCTAAAGAACTGGGATAGAAAACAGTTCCTAAAATACGGAGTACCGACCAAAAAGAGTGACATTTATATAGCAGGGTAATAGAAACACAACGGTGTTAAACGTTTCCATAATTTACGAACCACACACAAACTAGAAATTAATGCTGCATCGGAAGAGACAAGACAATAGGGAGATGATTCTAAAAATGGAAACTTATTAGTTATCACACCAGCCTTTTCCAAACTAACCTTCTTGTTTTTCTTCTTTGTTTTAGGGTGCAAAAACTTTTGTTCAAGCTGATCCTCGCGCAACACGGGGTTCTTGGCAATGCCATTCCTGCCTCCTTGGGGCAGGGGTAGTGAGAACTGCGCGACAAATCAAACAACATGCAAGTCGTCAAATTGTAAGGAAAAAAATTTGGGGGAAAAAGAGCTTGAGATTCTCACTTTTGTTCCACGCAAGGATACACGTGGTTTTCTAGCTGCAATTACAATCCCATTTTCTCCCACTGTAACAGCGACTTTGCGTAAAGTGCCCCCGTTACCACAACAGGGACAAAATATCCTACCAATTTCTGTGGTAACCTTATAGCAAGCATGACATTTTAGTACCCACCTGAAAATACGAATAGAAAATCCCATTGCACAAACTATTATACTCCATACCATTTTAAAAAATCAACCAATCACATTAGGACTAGAATGACGCAGCAAGAAATACGCGGCGCGAGTAAACAAAGAAAAATAACACGACCCTTTATATACCTCTGTAACTCACGAATCTGCATCCCACCAGGTGCTATAAGCCGCAAACCCATTTGAAGAATCACATTTTGCATTGCGAAGTCACTAGTTATACAAGCAACCGTTGACTCAGACAAGGATCGAAGTGTCCAACTCTGCTCGCTACTGCAATCGTCCACTTGTGACATTCCTGTGCTTTCACAGCTCTGACTAGCAATTTCTACAGCTTTAACTCCTTTATCAAAGTCACCAGCACCAACATCCTCCTCCTCTATATCCCCGGCATCCTTATTCGTGTTATTATTTATGTCGGCATCAGAGCTTTTGACATCATCAGAATCAGATGATTTATCTTCCTCCAGTCTCATTTCATTTAAAATATTAGAAATTTCTTCGGATACGTTCTCCTCGATAATCTCAGTGGAAGCACCATCAACATCCTCCCTTTCAGACGGTGTGTGACGGAGATCTCTTCTGGCCTTTCTTCTGAGATACTTTCTGTGAGTGCTTCGACTAACTGCAGGCAACCAATCGCTAGCATTATCCTCATCAAATTGTCCCTGTGAAGCATCTATCCCATCAGCCACCATCTTCTTACCTTCAATCTTTATCTCCTTCTTTTGAGCTAAATATTTTCTAGGCTTCCTGAAACCACCAACATTTATTGAAGTCAAAGAACCATCTGTACTTGGTTGATCTGTGGGAACAGCATTTAGGGTCAAATCTTTTAGGGGAAGGATTCTGGAGGTGGCATTTGATTCAACTGCATTTTCAAGAGCTTCCCATTCTTCAAGATTTGAAACATTGGTTCCCCAACCGGGTAGATCCTTCTCAGGCAGCCTTCTCACATTGACCGTGTGGATGGGAGGTGGGCAGTCCCTAAGATGCTCTGTTCCATGACTTTGTGCCTCCAACGTGTATGTCAAAGCAAGTAGCTTCAGATCCACATCCGATAGTGTCTGCAAATCTCCAGTTGCTCTTGCAAATCTAATAACTGTGAATCAACAACGTTGAAATTATTTATCACTTCCTTTCATCGTGAGTTAAAATGATAAAAGAATAACATATAAGTTTATGGCAATAAGTTTTGAAAATATAAGAAAATGTAACCAAAATTCAACAGCAAGAACACCCCAAAGGTTTTAACACAATATCACCTCATAATTTGAGAACTTGATAGTGTGTCCATGCAACTGCATCCATATTTCTATCTCAAAATGAGTCTTTAATTCATTAACAAGCCATTTAGGGAGATGCCATTTCTATCAATGGAGCAACTTATGGAACCTCGTGAACGAACAAAATGAGCAAGAATTCATTTTTATCAGCAACTGATACGTACAAACCTTTTTTAAGGGCATCAGGCAAGGGCTCCATTGTGTCAACAGTGAAAGGAAGGAAATTGAGGGAGTGACGAGAGGTCGGGTCCCGAATTTCGGTCAAGACCTCTGGAACAGAGACAAAACGATCGGCCTGATGCGATAGGTTCTGACCGCCCCTGATGATGGCGTTCGCGTCCACCACCGCCACCGCAATTCCCTTTGTTGAGCTGCAATTCCCGACCAACTCCGGATTTGGAGGCCGCGACGGGGCAGAAAAAGGGAAAAGGTTGTTTTGTTGGAGCGGCGGCGGCTCTTGCTTTACTATGTTGCTCCAACATGGCGGCGGAGCCTGAGCTGGTGGCTGGACCTCCATTGTTGGGGAGGTAGAGAAAAGGCTTCGCTAGCTTGCTAAAACCCTAATTTGACAGAAAAAAGGACACACATCAGAGCAACTCCAAGGGGAGTAAAAAATTATAATGTCATTTTAGCTCTCCAACTGTTTTAGCTTCTAACTTTTTGATCTCTATTCCAACCATGGCATCTATATTATACACTTTTATTACTTTTATTTTTTATTACTTGTATATAATTATTAATAAAAATCAAATTTTAATCCTTCTATAGTAAACCAAAACAAATAAAAAAGTCTACTCCTTCTCTAAATCAATTTTCCACAAGTTCTACAAATCAAATTTCAAAAAAATAAAAAAAAAATCTTCATCTGCAATTCCAAAAAAAAAAATCTTCGGTGTATATTCATATGCCTACCCAAAAAAACTCTAATCCAAGAAAATCTTCCAAAAGAATCCAAAAATAACTGAAATATTCAACGGTAATTCCAAAAAAAAAATCTTATCTTTCAGGAAATTTTGGGGAAAATCCAGAAATAGAATTCCATAGGCGCAGATCCACAGTTGCGATTCCAACAAAAAAGAAAACAAAACAGAGACATACCCACAGGAGAAGAGAAGAGCGAAGGAGAGCAATAAGAGGGTTTGCGCAGCACGGAAAAGAGAAGATAGCGGCGAAGTAGAGAAGCACTATATCCACTATCTACCGTCGTAAGCTATATTTGGGTTAAGAGAACCTAAAATGGGTATTCAGTTACCATCAAATAGTATTCGTGGGATATATCGTAAAAATGATTGTACGGTATATAGTGCATTCTGTTTCTACTTTAAACATTGCGTTTTTACTCATATTTTTTATTTCATTCTTAAAATGAATGATACTCAATAACAATTTAATAATTATGTATTTTTTTCAAATTAATTCATAAAATTAACTAATTCTTATGATAGTACTCGTTAATTGAAAAAAATGTTTAGTTTAGTCCTCCGACTAATAGCTGTTAAAACGACGTTAAACTTTCTACGGAGTACTTCTTTTCCAAAATAGTACTTTCTAGCTCGATGTTTTCTCAAATTGGTTCATTTTCGAAATAACAATGCATTAATTATAGAAAAACATTTTAAATTCTATATAAACGTTCTAATAACTAGATATATCTAAAGACTCACCCGTGGCTCAAATGAAAGTTTTGAAAATTTTCTAGTGAAACTTCAGACGACTATTGTGGCTATCTCCGGCAACCTCTAGTTCTCCAGACAACACTACGGCACTCTCCACACTCACATAAACAAAATGGAAGAAAAATGATAGAATGGTGAAGAAATGAATGAATTTGACATTCCTTATATAGGAGAGTGAATGAGGAAGAAGCCAGACCATTCCCCGTTTTGCTGCGTCATTGGAGATCCGCGAATCATCGGTGGAAGTGGCGATACTTTGAAGATTTACACGCTACTCCCTCATTGAGACTTAAATGGTCTTAATCGGAATACATTTTTTTGTCCAACTTTCTCCAAATTAAAATCTGATTACACCGTCGCGATCAAATAGTCAAACTTTACACATCGATATAATTTTCAAAATTAATTCACAGACTTTACAAAATCACTTATTTTTAAGTTTATCTCAGTAATTAATTAATTATCAATTAATTAATTCTAATATACTCCGGTGGCCATCTCGAGCAGTTATGATGCTTTTATGGTTATTGTATTTTTTTGTCACGATTGGTCACCATTGTTAAACTAGAGGACATTTATGCCATTTAAAAAAAAGAAAAAGAGAGATGTGGAATGCAAATAGTAAAGAGTGGAGTGCCAATATCAATTCCCTCTTTTTTATTTCTAAAAAGAAAACGCAGACGATTAATCTGTGGCACGAATTATGAAATTTGTATGCTGCGTTATATTCCCTCCGTCCTAAAATTAACTTCTCATTTAATTTTTCACGGTCTCCAATGTGATATTTTGGCCATTAATATCTCCATTTTTATATGAATATATATTATAAAAATAATATATTTCAAAACTATGTTTCAAAATGAATCGATTGATAATAAATTTATATGAAAATTCAATATATATTTTTCGTAATACAGAATCAAAGTTTAAAAAGTTTGACTGTAAAAATCAAAATGAGAAGTTAATTTTGGGCCCGTTTGGCATCAGCGTTAGAGATTAGCGTTAGCGTTTTGAAAAGGCTATCCAACGGTAGCTTTTAGCGTTAGCGTTTTCAGAATTAATCTACACCATTAAAATTATATCCAAAACGCTAACGCTAATCAAAAACGCTGTTCCCAAACAAGACCTTTAGGACGGAGGGAGTAGTTTTTATATAAAATATACTTTGAGAGTGTTTGGGAGTATGTTTGAAAATAGCTTTTGAGCTTCTACTTCATTGAAACACAATTTAAAGTGTTTTCCAATTAGCTTTAGATTATGGATTGTGACTTCAGAAGTACGGAGTATAAATTATATTTCAGAAGTGATTTTCACCTAAACTCGGAGTAACTGCTTTCTATTTCTGATTTTAGCACATGTGCTTTTTCAATACTCACCGCACTCACAAACACCTTATTTATATGCCTTTAAATAGATTATACATTGTAAATCAGTAATATACCAAAATCATAGAAACTCTAATTTATTTGAATGAGTATTTTATTTAATAAAATAAAATATTATAGTTAATCAACTTTTATTTTATAAAACTTTATGCATAATATACACACACCATTTTTCTCCGTTCGAATTTAATCTTCTGATTTGATTTTTTTAAATTTGTAAACTTTGATTTTGATATGCAAAAGAGATAAAATGTGTTTCGATATAAATATAATATCAATTATTTTCTTTTGAAACATAGTTTTGAAATTGAATTTTTTTAACAAAATTTATCTATATGTAAATATCAATATTATTTGTCAATGTGTTGTATAGAGATTGTGAAAAGTCAAACTAAAAAAAAAGTAGTCTAGCATATGTGAAGGAAAGTGTAAAAAATTTGAAATGTAAATGTTGCATTATTTTTGGCTACTTGTGCCCTCACATGTCTCGATGCCCCATTTCAAAATTCTAACTTCCCTCCTCTTCTCGCCTACTTATATTGTGCCTTCTTCCCAAAGCCCCTAAAACGGCCACACCATATTTTCTTTCTCCTTCATTTCCACCCACACACCTTTCCATCTCTACGAGCGCAGCCAAATCGACCGAGAGATGCGTGAGATTCTGCACATCCAAGGCGGCCAATGCGGCAATCAGATCGGATCCAAGTTCTGGGAGGTCGTGTGCGCCGAGCACGGGATCGACTCCACCGGCCGCTACCAGGGCGATTCCGATCTGCAGCTCGAGCGCGTCAATGTCTACTACAACGAGGCTAGCTGCGGGCGGTTCGTCCCCCGCGCCGTCCTCATGGATCTGGAGCCTGGAACCATGGATTCCGTCAGATCCGGCCCCTACGGCCAGATCTTCCGCCCCGACAACTTCGTGTTCGGCCAGTCCGGCGCCGGAAACAATTGGGCCAAGGGACACTACACCGAGGGCGCTGAACTCATCGACTCCGTCCTGGACGTCGTCCGCAAGGAGGCCGAGAACTCCGATTGCCTCCAAGGCACGCGAATATACATGAACTCGTGTTTTTGTTTATGTTTTTAAGCGTTCGTTAACAATACATGTGTCTGATGGAGTGTTTTTGCTTAAGAGTTCCTGGATCTGATGCGCCTGGAAGCGATTGCAGCGGAATTGATGGTTTAATTTTTTGGTTTATGTTTCTAGGGTTTCAAGTGTGTCATTCGCTGGGTGGAGGAACCGGGTCGGGCATGGGGACGCTGTTGATATCCAAGATAAGGGAGGAGTACCCTGACCGGATGATGTTAACTTTCTCTGTTTTTCCGTCGCCAAAGGTGTCCGACACAGTGGTGGAGCCCTACAATGCGACGCTCTCTGTGCATCAGTTGGTTGAGAACGCTGATGAGTGTATGGTGTTGGATAATGAGGCTCTCTATGACATCTGTTTTCGCACTCTAAAGCTCACCACTCCAAGTTGTAAGTCATTAGCTTTTGTTTTTGATGATTTTAGTTTAGTTGAAATAGCATGTAAAATATGAGAACCAGAAGGTATTTATGTGCTTCTCCTTCCAGCAAAGGGTAATATCCTAGTAAGATTTTCCATTTCTCTGAATACTTTGATCAAAATTCATACTCCGTAGTACAGATGCATTATTAACCTTTATAATACTTTCAACCTTTTAAAATCTAAAAGTAATACTAATTTTTGCTGGATTTACTTCTTTGGTTAAAGTCTCAGGTAAGTTCTAACTTTTGGCGGCTATCAAAGAGTCTTGTTGGGATTTTGAGCTTTTCAACTTGTATGTGAATGAACATGATGACATGTTATAATCTTTTTGGTTAACAATATGTAAGCTGAACTGTTTCTAGAGTTCTATGAACACTACCTACCAGCTTGATGATTGAACATGAGACTCTCTTCATATTCTTTGCGCCCAAACAGATCTAATCTAATTATCTTTAGATTATTTTTTGAAATTCATTTGGTTGATAGTGTTTTGCATTGATCTTATGTGTGCTATGTGTTAGGAAAGTGAGTTTGTTGGATGAATCCTTACTGAGTATGTGTTTATGATGTTTAAAGCTCAATAGTGCATGGAATCTGATTACATATAACCATATGCAATTTCATTTTTTCAGTTGGAGATCTGAACCACTTGATATCAGCCACCATGAGCGGTGTGACTTGCTGCCTTCGCTTCCCTGGTCAGCTAAACTCAGATCTGCGGAAGCTAGCAGTGAATCTTATACCTTTCCCTCGTCTCCACTTCTTTATGGTTGGCTTTGCTCCACTTACTTCGCGTGGTTCACAGCAGTATCGTTCCCTCACGGTCCCAGAACTCTCCCAACAGATGTGGGATTCTAAAAACATGATGTGTGCTGCTGATCCCCGTCATGGCAGGTAATGATGTAAAAGAATCAAATATTGTTTACATGACTTGTATCCGTGATTTGAATGGGTATATCAACACTTGATACTTCACTTGCATTATTTTTCGAAGGTGGTTTTAAAATCAATTTGTGATTAATCAAATAACAAGATAAGAATCTCATTAGAAATTGAACCAATTGAGACTGGAATTCAAAACTTGATTGGTTTACAACCTCAAATGGCATGACAGGTATCTGACTGCATCAGCAGTGTTCCGTGGCAAGGTGAGCACAAAAGAGGTGGACGAGCAGATGATGAACGTCCAGAACAAGAACTCGTCCTACTTCGTGGAGTGGATCCCAAACAACGTCAAGTCCAGTGTCTGTGACATTCCACCGACTGGTCTCAAGATGGCCGCAACTTTCATAGGAAACTCCACTTCCATACAGGAGATGTTCAGGAGGGTGAGCGAGCAGTTCACCGCCATGTTCCGCAGGAAGGCCTTCTTGCATTGGTACACCGGCGAGGGTATGGATGAGATGGAGTTCACCGAAGCCGAGAGCAACATGAACGACCTGGTGGCGGAGTACCAGCAGTATCAGGACGCCACTGCTGATGAAGAATATGAGGAAGAAGGTGACTACCAGGAGGAATCCTAAGCATGGGTCCGATCGAATATGGTAAGTTTTTATGGATGACTCTGTCTATTGTTGGTCTAGTTGTGTTTTTTCAGGTTATTATGATTGCTATTTCCAATATTACTTGGAATGAAGTGTTGCTTGTTAGTCCAAGTCCCTTAGAACAAAATTTTATTAAGCATTTTTGTTATAAATATT